TAATTTTAAAGTGATGAGTATTAATTATTTAATGATTAAATGAAAGATTAAATACATCAAAATGTAACGGTTTTTGGAGGGAAAATTGTTAAATTGCCACATAGGTAAAATTAAATAGGTTTTATTAAATGTTTTGAGCTAGTAATTATATATATATAGATATATTTTTTATTTTCAAAAAAAAAATTAAATGTAACAACAATAATAACATCTAATCACATTATACGGTCAACACATTATATGGTCAACTGTCATTAATCAAAAGTTTAAAATAATTTTATAATTTTAAAGTGATGAGTATTAATTATTTAATGATTAAATGAAAGATTAAATACATCAAAATGTAACGGTTTTTGGAGGGAAAATTGTTAAATTGCCACATAGGTAAAATTAAATAGGTTTTATTAAATGTTTTGAGCTAGTAATTATATATATATAGATATGATAAAAGTTATTGCTAAAATAAATGTTTTATTTAAAACTTTTGATGGACTAATTGATGAAAAAAAAAATAAAGGAATAGACAGTGCAGAAAGTGATTTGTAAATCGTAATTTATGAGATAAATATGAGAGAAAATTATAATATGGTAAGATTGCTACTTGCCCAAACTAAGAAGGAAATGTGTACTAAACGAAAAAAAATAACGAAATTAAGTATACACTTATCAAGTTTGAAAAAAGTTATTTATGTCTAATACCCAAGCATAACTCCAGAGCAAAAATGAATATATAAACAACATTACGAAACATAGATTTTCGTCATTTCAGCAATCGAAACGTGAGAATTTGTCACTTAGGCTTAATATGTTTTGAATTAATATATAGGGAGAGATTACTCAATTTATATATATACTCAAGATCAACAGATTATTTTAGCTGGTTCATTTTAGACTCAAGCTCATTCGTTTCTTAATTGAGCCGACTACAAAAGTATTAAGATTGTTAATTGAAATAACACTAACTCATTGTGAACGTTCGACAATGTCCCGAAAATTTATTCAATATTTTTTATATAGTTATATTTTCTATTAAAATTTGGGAGTATGTTCTTCTTTTAGTTCGAAAGATATCAAACGAGTTATTCTTGAATTAATCACACAATTCTAAAAGTTTGTTTACTAAACTATTCAAATATGAACAAATACTATATTTTACGAAAAATTATTCGAACGAGCTCGAGCATAAATTTATGCTCAGAACATTTTTTTTACAAACAATTAAACGAACGAGACCGAACATAATGTTTAACATGAATAAAAGTTAAACAAACATGAAAAATGTATGAACTCCAAATGTTCAAGTTTTCCTATTCGGTAGATTTAGGATTGGATGGATTGACTGTTTGTGAACACAAACGCATTCGAGCTTATTCGTTTGTTAATTGAGTTGTGTTCGAGCAAACAGTTAGGCTCCTTTAATAATCAAACGAACATGAGCCTGTTTGCGATCGTTTGATATTGTTCGCGAATATTAATTTGAAATAATTTTATTTTATTTTATTTTTATATTTATATTTATGTTATTTTTAGTAAAAAACCTAAAATATGAAAATGTTTTTATCTTAATTTTATTTTTGGTCTCAAACGAAGAGATATCAAGTTAATCAAATAATTAAAAAAAAAATTCTTAAATTATTTAAATACGAATGAACTCAAACTTTACAAATAATTAAATAATCAAAATACAACTTTTTGCTTCAAATATACGAACATAATCAAAACATAACAATTGTACAAAAGCAAAAATTAACACAAATAACTTTATTTTGCAATCCATAATTTGAACTCCTCAATTAAAGTTGGAGCATTTCAAAATAGGTCACCAAAAGGTCCACAGCTAAAAAATTCAAACTATATAGCCGTTTTTAATGCATTATTAAAATTATTAAATCGTCGCCCTCTCACCTATTCTACCCAAACTACCCCTATCACATTCAAAACGTCAATCGCGCGATCTACCCCGATTTCAAACTCAGATCTCATCTCAGCCGTCCATTATCTTCTTCTTCCTTTTAATCCCCATTTACTCAAACTGAGATAACCAACGGTCAGTGCCGTAGCCTAAAATCCCTACAGAGAGAGAGAGAGAGAGAGAGAGAGAGAGGAGTTCAAGAACCTGGAATCTCCAAATTTGTGAAGAGAAGTTGAAAAAAATCCAATAAACATGGTTTTGATTCGAGATTTCAACTGACACACAAAAAAAGAGAGAGAGAGATCAAAAAACGGAAAAATTTCAAAATTCCGAGTCGCCGGAGCTCTCTTCCTCGCTTCCTCCGTCAGGTAACCTCTCAATCTCCGTTCTCCTTGAAGGAATTGAATATTTCCTCTGTATCGAGTAATTTGTTTCAATAACTTTTTTTTTGTTTCACCTCCGTGATGTTGCAGAATGTTGAGGGATTTCAAGTTCTTGCGCCGGAATTCGGGGAAGAACAACTCCGAGGACGCTGAGAACGTGCCCGTAAACCCTAGGGATGCTCTGAACCCTCAGACGAGCGCAGATCCCTCGAGGCCCCCTCTGAACACCATCCAAGAACCCTCGCGTATCCCGAGAGCCGTCTCGGAGCACGAATTCGGCAGCTACAAGCGCAAAAGGGTCGACCGAACGCCGACTAAGCCGAAACCTAAGCATCCGGACATGCTGCGCACTCCCGAAAAACAGGGGTTATTGTCTAGAAACAGGTTCAATTGGGATCAGAGGGGTGATTATGCATCGGGTAATAGTGGTCTGGAATCGAGGGAAGGGGGAAGGGTTTTGTTTTCGAATGTGGTGGATTCTCCAAGTTCCACTAGGGCGGTTGCTAGGGCTAATTTGAGTTATTCGGAGTGTAACTCAACCCAAAGCACTCCGACTAAGAGCGTTAGCAAGCCCCCAAACCCGGGTTTTGCATTGGCTAGCAGCTCTAGGACTGTGGCAAACACGGGGTCCCGAATGGCCAACTATGGCATGTTGACAAGAGGGATACCGAGTTCGTGTAACCTGCCCACTGTCGTTAACACTGTTGAGGTTCCTTATTTCGAGCTCAAAGAAGATCCATCGTTTTGGATGGAACACAATGTGCAAGTATGCTCTCCGTATATGTTTTTTGTATTTGATTTTGGGCTAGTTTAACGTGTGGCGTTTTCTGAATTTAATCTTTTAATTAGGTTTTGATTCGGATACGGCCGTTGAACAACATGGAGAAGAGCAGTTTTGGTTATAGTAGATGCTTGAAGCAGGAGAGTGCCCAGAGCATCACGTGGATTGGGCAGCAACCTGAGACTCGATTCATGTTTGATCATGTTGCATGTGAAACTATCGATCAGGTATTGATATAGCTTGTTTGATTAGGCAATGAACTGTGGGGCTAGAGAGGGTCGACTAATGCTTTTGCCTTTTCAGGAGACACTTTTTAGGATGGTTGGCTTACCCATGGTGGAGAATTGCTTGTCTGGGTACAATAGCTGCATGTTTGCGTACGGGCAGGTAAGAGGACAGTATATGCATTGGAAGTGTTCGTTTTTATCTGTTATTGTAAAATATACCAAGAAAAAAGTTCATGTTATTTTGATGTGCTACACAATTTCATGAATTTTAAACCTGAGCCAAGTTTTAACTATTTTCCTCAGGTATATCATGGGACCCTTTGATGTAGAGATGTGTCTATATCTTTTTGATTGCTTAGTTGTAATTATTGACTGAAAAATTTATCCAATTTTGGCTGATATCCAATGTAGTTTGCACGAAAAAGGCGTCACATTTGTTCTATCTTTTCAAGCTTATGGACTTCATTTCTGTAGTTCTGTTTTGGCCATTACTATGGGTCTTCTGTTCTGGTTTACCATCTGAGAATTTGACTATGCAGACTGGTAGTGGCAAGACATATACAATGCTTGGTGAGATGGACGAATTAGAAGTCAGGCCTAGTCCACACCGTGGGATGACTCCTAGGATATTTGAATTCTTATTTGCAAGAATTAGAGCGGTAAAGCCAAAGAGATGAATGCAACACATTATTAACACAACACATATGCCCATAAAGTTGCTTCTCGCTACAAATTATTAATGCAACACATATCTCTTACAGGAAGAGGAAAGCCGAAGAGATGAACGGTTGAAATACAACTGCAAATGCTCTTTCCTTGAGATCTATAATGAGCAAATAACTGATCTTCTTGATCCTTCATCCACAAATCTTATGGTAATTTAGATTTCTATAGTTGAATTTGGCTCGGTATTGTTGAAACATGATCTAATATTTATTATCTCTATTTATTAAGTTACGTGAGGATATGCAAAAGGGCGTCTATGTTGAGAATCTCTCGGAATTTGAAGTCCACACTGTAGGAGACATCCTCCAGCTTTTGTCTCAGGTATTTTTTTTGGACGCATCCTGTTGATGGCATTTTACATATAATTCTTTTCATCATTTTGCTTTAATTCTTGATTTTATGCTTTAGGGATCTTCGAACAGAAAAGTGGCAGCTACTAATATGAATAGAGAAAGCAGCCGTTCGCACAGCGTTTTTACATGTGTGATCGAAAGTAGGTGGGAAAAGGATTCGACCACTAACTTTCGGTTTGCAAGGCTGAACCTTGTTGACCTTGCTGGTTCTGAGAGGTATTATTGCATTGTGCTCAACTTTCTAATACAAAAAGCAACATTTTTCTTGCTGCGTGGAAACATCATTTGCCTATTTATTATTTCCAACAGGCAAAAGTCTTCTGGTGCTGAGGGTGAACGCCTTAAAGAAGCTGCAAATATTAATAAATCATTATCAACACTAGGGTATTGTTGATATTGCTCTTAGTTATTGCTGACCTTAATCTTTTTCTACTTTACATTTTGAATTGACTTGGAAAAGGGCTTTTTCCTCTTTGCAGTCATGTAATTATGGTCTTAGTAGATGTAGCAAATGGAAAACCGAGACACATTCCCTACAGAGATTCAAGATTGACGTTTCTTCTTCAGGTGCAGTATTATTCGTAATCTTCTGTATCTTGTTGTTGTTACCAAGTGCATATATTTTATTTGGTTACTTATTTCATGGTTACATGGAACAGGACTCTCTCGGAGGGAACTCAAAAACAATGATAATAGCTAATGTCAGCCCATCTCTCTGGTACACAATGTTGCCCCTCTTGTAGACTTATAATTGTTATTTTTCTTTTCTTTTCTTTTTTCTTTTATACCAGAAAAGATAATATACATTCATAAATATCAATCTGATTACTTCATTTACAGCTCTGCGGCTGAAACATATAACACTTTAAAGTTTGCACAACGTGCAAAACTGATTCAGAACAACGTAAGCTTCTTCATATGCCGCTCCTTCTGAAATTCTTGCATTGAAAATTTCATATATTTATATTTCTGTGGGACTTGTTCTAGGCTGTCATAAATGAAGACTCATCTGGGGATGTCGTCGCATTAAAACGGCAGATACAGTTATTAAAGGTCAAAATAGTTTCATATCGTTCAATTACGTAATAAAATTTGATAGTAATTAATATAGAACTGAATCTTGGCATATTGGCACAGGAAGAGCTATCTGCCCTCAAGCGTGAAAAGGTTTCTCGGTCATTGTCATTTGGACCTGCCACAGATACAAGAAGCAAAGATGACGATGATGATTGTAATGAAAGGTCACCAGCACAAGAAACTCATGGAGTTCTCCGAGTGTCTTGTAAACAGGTAAAGTGTGCTGCCTTCAACATTGTTTATTTTCTTGTGACAGCATTTATACAGGTTTCCAAACAGTGGTGCTACCATTTGGGATTGGTTCAAATAATAGACTTTTCTGTTTTTTACCAGTGAAATCTTGGTTCTGCGTGTTCTTGTTTTAACTATGAGGTTCATATTTATTACAGTTAAAATCCTTGGAAACTACCCTTGCTGGAGCTTTACGAAGAGAACAAATGGCAGATGCCACAGTTCAACAGCTTCAAGCTGAAATTCAACAGTTGAACCGCCTGGTATTTCTTTCGTGTCCCTTTCATGGTAATATTTCATGTTTGACTTTCATATAAGGTTGATGAGTTTCTGATTGCTCAAATTTTAGGTTACTCAAAGGGAGGAGGACACGAGGTGCACGAAAATGATGTTGAAGTTCAGAGAAGATAAAATTCAAAGAATGGAGTCTGTACTTGGGAAGTTGATATCGACAGATGACTATTTAGTGAAAGAAAACCATGCACTTCAGGAAGAAATTCAGGTTTTGAGAGAGAGAATGGACAAAAATCCTGAAGTGACACGTTTTGCACTTGAAAATATCAGGCTCTTAGATCAAGTTCGGCAGTAAGTTTTTGAGATCATTATATCCCTTTGTGCTGTGTGCCTGGTTTTATTTTTTTTGTTGTTTTGTCACTTGGCCTCACAAATATTTACTTACAGATTTCAGGATTTATATGAAGAAGGGGAGAGGGAAATGTTGATGACTGAAGTATCTGAACTGCGAAATCAGCTTATTTCCTCCCTTGATGGAAATTTAAAGCATCCTAATCTTCTCGATATGAAGGTGGCTTAGTGCAACTTCTTTGCCCTCTCATCCAAAACTGAAAAATGATGCGTACAGCTTAATTTTTCATTTCTTCTTGAAACAGGCTCCTAAAGGCGATGAAAGTGAAAAAGATTTACTTCATAAGGAGGTTAGACTGTCATTTTACTTCATATGAAGTTAAGCCAATGCTTTGAATTTTTGTCTTTGATATTTAAGTTTGAATGTGCATTTCATTTTCAAACAGTTGAATAAAACTCTCTTTGAGCTGGAGGACAGCAAGGAGAAGCTGAACTCTTGTCTTGAAGAAAATGCTAAGCTCCGACGGTAAGATTTTATAAGAGAAATTAGTCTGTTTTCTTTTTTCTTTTCTGCATAATCTTCATCTTCCAATTTTTACTTTTATATTTTCTTTAAATGTCATTCTAATTCTTTGCAGAGAACTAGAAGAGTTGCAAGCATCAGTAAGTGTCACCTCGTCTGCCGTGCAAGGGCATGATTACAGTGCAGAAGTCATAAAGGTACATCCAGCTAATTTTATTCATCGGATAATCAGAGAAATTATTATTTTTCAGGTTTTGCTTAATAACAAGAAACTCCTGTATCTATCTCGGTGTATTCCCACATTTATTTTCCTATTCAGGGTTCATTATCTTGAAAAAGACTCTTAAATGCTGACTATCATGATGACTTGCTTTCAGGAATCCATAGTGGAAGTTCCAACCATCAGTAATCAGGCAATGATGACAGCCCAGAGAGAGAAGGAAGGAACAAAACCAAATCTTGTTAATGCAGAAGATATAATGAATTTACAACTGGAGCTGGACATTGTTAAAATTATTCTACATGAACAGAGGTCGTCTCACACTGAAACCGAGGCAATTGCAAAATCTTTAAACGAAGAACTTCATTTGGCGAAAGAAATGGTTATTTCTGTATCCAAAGACTACGAACGAGTTCAAGAAGAGCTTACGAATGCTAAACTTGTTATTGAAGCACTGGAGTCCCAACAACTGCAGTCGATCAATGAGATTGAGGATATCAAGAGCTCCAATGTCTTCCTTGAAGAATTGTTAAAAGAAAAGGAGCTCGAAATTTCTAACCTAAAGGGGATAGCTCAATCTCAAGATTCCAGAGACATTTCAATGTATAATAAGCATGCGGAGTGTGATGATTCACCTTTAGAAGCAAAGTTAAAGAAAATGCATCAATCACTAGAGAAGGCTAGGAAACTGAATGAGTTATATAAAAATGATCTCGCGTATCAAGCAACTCACGAGAACGAAGCAGAGGAAGTTCGTAAGCAGGTTGAGGCCGAGACAGCAGAAGTGATTGTTTGTCTGCAAGAAGAGCTTTCTGGCCTTCAGCAAGAAGTTTATGATAGCAAGACGAAAGAGATGGAGGCGATGGAGAGCTTAAAGTTGTTGCAAGCGCAAATGAAAATCATGGAGAATGATTTACTATTAAAGAATGAAGATAATGTAAAATTGTCCAAGCAATTGGAAAAGATGAGGTCCGAGTGGGATTTGATTGCCTCAGAAATTGAAGATACTCTGTCTGATGGAAACGTGGCTCTTGCAGATGCATCAGAAGAGATTGGCGTTATCTCGAGTTCCATCCCTTTTAAAAGGAGTATAATTTCTGAGCAATTTGGGAGGATCAGAAAATATATTTATGAAAAGGAGTTGTCTATTGAAGAGCTTAATCAGTGCTTGAAGGATGCATTAGAAAGGAGAGATGACATGGAGTGCATGCTGAGGTCTTTGAGAGGGGCAGCTTTGGTTATGACTGAAACTCATCAACAGGAGTGCAGTGAAAAGGATAGAGAGATTCTTCATTTGACCTCCAATTTAAATAGTATGAAAGCAACTGTTGACGAGCTCAGGAGATTAGTGGAGCATGGAAAATATCAGCTGAAAACTGCATCTTCTTGTGCAACGGCTGCTTTTGTGATTGTGAACAGATTGTCGGAGTTGAACTCCAACTATAGGGATGCTTTGAATTACAAGGATGCGCAGATGGGAGACGGTATTGATATTTCAGAAACTAGGGGAAAACTGAAGGAGCTAAATTCCGGAGTTTCGGTGCTAAGGGCATGCGTAAATGAATATAAATCAAGGGTATGTTTGCTAATTTTTCTCTATTTAACTTATAGGCAGTGATTTTATCGAATAATTTGAAATACTAGTTTAATGTTGTTGCAGACAGGTACACGAATAGAGGAAGATGATGCGGGCTCGTGTGATATTGGCGGCGGCAATTTGAAGCCTGCAAGAACTGTGGAGAGTGTGAATGGTGGAGATAGTGCCGTTGTTCTCTTGAAGAAAGAGATAGAATGTTCACTCAAAAGTTTACAAGTAGTGCAAGCCGAGATGGACAGGCTGTGTTGTGAGAAAGAAGAGATTTTGGCATCTGAAAAATGTGGTCAGAAGAGCATTGAGTCAATGGTCGCTCAAGTAGTTATTCTTGGAGATGCTATAGAAAATTTCAGAGATGAGGTTGAGGTCAAAATCAATGATATGGAGAGTAAGTTAGGGAATTTGGAAGAAATAATACAGGAGTCTTTCACTTCCTGGTTCCAGCAAAGAGAGGTACGACTTTTACAGTACTATATTATTGGATTTAAAAAAGTGTCTTGTTTTTATTGTTGTATAATTAACAGTTTGCTAATGATCTCTTTTAACTAATTATCATTTTCATTTTTTGTTTCTTTTTAAACTGTGCATCTGCTATACCTGGTTTTGCAGTTACTGGAAGATGAACTTGATGATGCAAAAGTTATTGCTGCCCAGAAAACCATTGAAGCTTCCTGTATTCTCGAGAAATTCGAGGAGGTTCAAGATACAGTGAAGGAAGCAGACATCATGATAAACGAGTTGATGATAGCTAACGAGGCCTTGAAGCTCAACACTCATGAACTGAAGGTCAATGAAAATGATCTCTTGAAAGAGGTTGAAAGTTTAAAACTCTCTAACTCTCTGAAAGACCAGAAGTGTGGAAACTTGGAAAAACAGTACAGTACGGATTTTGACATCATGAAGACGATGCTGTCAGAACTAGAGGATGTTATAACCGGAATGAAAAACTCTTACTCAAAAGAATGGATGCCTGTATCACGTGATATCCTCAACATGAAATCTCAATTTCATGAATTTACAGTGTCAATTAGGACAATGCTCGAAGATGTCTGGTCTGATATTATTGTCAAGGACTGTGCCGTGTCCGTTTTGCATTTATGTCACATGGGGATTCTCTTGGAAACAGCAAATGGTCTAAATGCAGAAAATGGTCTTCTTGAGCACGGCCTTTGCGAGTCAAACTCCATTGTTTCTGAACTTCGGGAGCATAATTTGAAAGCAAGAAAAGAGCTTGAGTTGTGCAGGGAACTTAAGGGGAAGTTGCTGGTAGATATCAGGAAAGGCTTCGACCGCATATCGAGCAAAGTAGATGAAAATGGGGAGGTAACCCTTAAGCTTGCCTCCTTTGAGAAGAAAATTCAAAATCTACAGTTTCAAGAAGAGATGATGCTACAGAGGTCGAATGATATGGGATGTGAATTGGCTGTGATCATGAAGGAGCTTGATTTTTGTAATAAAAACACGACAGAGTCTATTATGGTTCACGAAAGGTTACTGAAGGAGAAAGATGAATTGCTCCAGCATCAGGAGGAGAGTTTCATGCTGGAATTACACGCAAAGGAGTTTGAGCTGTTGATTTTGTGGACAGAATCAAAGCAGTTGTCTGTCCAGAAAGCAGATTTGGTGAATGCTTGCATCAGTGCTTGTGATGTACTCGAAGAATTAAAGAAGGATATAGTTTTCAAGAGCATAGAAGCTGTTTCTGGTGAGTTGATGTTGCTTGAAAAGGAATCTGCTCTAGAAGGTTCGTCGAGTCACATCTCTAAGCTTTATGAGAAAATCCAAAAGTTGCAGAACGAGCTGGAATCGAAAAATGAAGAACTCGGAAGGATAAGCTGCCTTGAGAAGGAAAACGAGAAACTGCATGAACTTGTCATCGAGAACCAGACGCTGAGAAATAATGTTTTGATGTCTGAGAATTGCATTGCTGAGTTAGAAGAAGACATAAGACTAGCAAAGGTGGAAATCCAAAACCACAAAGTATCCCAGTGTATTGTCAAAGATGAATTGTGCTCCAGGATTGAAGATTTAGAAAGAGAAATTAGCAATCTGAACACTTCGAAAGAAGAGAACATTTTGTTGAGAAATGAAGTAAGAGCTCTGGACGTGAAATTATTGAAGAATGTTGAGTCGGCCAAAACTGCTGATAAAGCAATCTGCGATACAGTTGATTTTGCTCGGGAGAAAATTGTTGAAGTGGAATGTAAGTTTCAGAATATAGTTAATGAAATGGATAGGGCGCAAAATTTTCTGGAACAGATTGAATGTGTGGAGACTATTGCTTTACAGTTAGATTCTGAAACTTTGTATCTTCAAATGGAGTTGTTGAGAAAGGATGATATTCTCAAGGGTCTATTATTTGACTTGAGTTTGCTGCAAGAATCAGCTTCGAACAGTAAGGATAAAAAAGATGAGATGGAAGAAGTGCTAGCTTCATTAAGGGCAGTGGAAAAAGATTTGGAGTTAACGTCGCACGAACTTCAAAAAGCTCTGGCTGAAGGTCAAGCACTTGATGTTCAACTTCATGAAAAGATGGAAGCAATAGTTTCTCTTGAATTGGATTTGAATAAAAGTCAGGAAATGGTAAATTCACTAACCGACAGAAATGCCAATCTTTTAGATGGTGTGAAAGAGGCCTTGGAAGCAAAAAATTCCATGGAGAAAGAGCTTCTTGAGACGAGGACCAACATCAAGAATTTAGAGATGGAAGTTGGTGAAATGGAAATGGCCCTCGATCAAATGAGCAAAACAACTGAATTATTGAAGTGCAACTTGGCTTCTGCCACCTGCCAAAGGGATGAGCTGGAAGACAGAGTTGATATTTTGACCAGAGAGCTTGAGATGGCTAGGAACCTTGCTGGAGAAAATGAGGCAATTGCTGCTGAAGCTCAAGAGGTAACCTTTTCTTATACTTCATTGGAATTTTATTAAAGATACTTCATGGAACATACCTTTTGTAATTATCTCTATTTTATTTTGTTTAATGGCCTATGTTACCAACAATTGCTACAGCTAGCTGAAATGCAGAAAGCCCACGCTGAGGAAAAAGAAGAGGAAGTGAAGCTATTAGAGCGTTCTATTGAAGAGCTAGAGTGCACTGTAAACGTACTTGAACAAAAGGTACTATCTGAAAAACCTTTTATGGGAGCTGCTTATATGAATCTTCTTTGCCCTTAATGTTGACGTGAGCCTTCCACTTTATAAGGTTGACATTGTCAAAGGAGAAGCCGAGAGGCAACGGTTGCAGAGGGAGGAACTTGAGCTGGAGCTTCTTGGCATCAAAGAACAAATGCAGAATATCAAAAGCAACGATTCTGATCTAAAAAGGTTTGCAATTTTCTTTTGCTCTGAAGTGCCTTTAGACTTAGAAAACTGCTAATCTGAAACAATCATCTCTAACTATTCAAGTACAACTTGCATTCAGATGTTTGGATGAGAAGGAAAAAGATCTTGCAGAAGCATTGCAACGAGTACAACTTCTCGAAAGAGAAATAGCTGCCAGGGATGCCGAGGTTTCTTTCTTTCTTATCTAGATTGTCATCTCTTTGATTTTTATTATTTAATGGATGATTTCTCTTTTTATTCCACATCATGCCAAAAATTCATCTGATTGTGTGTGTGTGTGTGTGTACAGATATCTCAATGTAATGATCATATCTCTGAGCTCAACTTGCATGCAGAGGCCCAAGCCAGCGAATACAAGAAAAAGGTGGGATTAATTGTTAATAGCATGATAAATACAAAAGAATCATGCCATTTCTTTCTTTCCTTGTTTTCCAATAAGGTTTAAAAGCAAAATTAACAAAATGTCAACTTTTCTAATTTTCTCAAATCAGTTTAAGGCACTGGAAACTATGGTAGAGCAACTAAAATCCGAAACTGCCACTCATAGCACTGCATCACCAAAAAAATTGGAGAAAAGTGTTTCGAAGCCCAGAGGCTCTGGATCACCCTTTAAGTGCATTGGTTTGGGCTTAGCCCAACAAATTAAATCAGAGAAAGATGAGGAACTCACTGCTGGAAGACAACGGATAGAAGAACTTGAAGTTCTGGCCGCAAGCAGACAGAAAGAGGTGGCTTTTCTAATAGAAGTATAGTGTTAAGATGCCTGCGCATACTTTACTGGATATTCTCACCTGAAAATTACTTCGTTTTTTCTGGCAGATATTATTGCTCAAGGCAAGACTGGCTTCCACTGAAAGCATGACGCATGATGTGATCCGGGATTTGCTAGGTGTAAAAATGAATATGAAGAATTATGCTGTAAGTTCTGTGTTTGGATACACTAAAAGAAAAGGAAGGAAAAAAAAAAAAAGCCTTCTACAATCTCTCCATCTTATTTCAACTTCTTTTGTAGATGCTCCCTATAGCACATGCATGTCTTAAAAAGAATGCCTCACTTACAATTATTTCTTTGTCATTGCTAGAATATAATGGATAATCAGAAGCTTCATTCACTAACTGCACCAACTCAACAATATAATGTTGAATCTGGAGTGAAGGTAAAATTATCCCCCATGTCAGCTTTTCATAGTTTTGTTTTTGTAAGATAAGCTAGATTGATAGCTTTTTGGTGAATTACTTCTGTAGGAGCAAGAATTGGCTAATCTGAAGCAGCAGATACATGAGTTCGTTAAAGAAAGGAATGGGTAATGGATGCTTAATCATTTACCGATTGTTAACTATCTTTTAATTTACATGCTAATTAAAATCAATTCTTAAACTTTTTTATGTTTAGATGGCTAGAAGAGATTGAGAAGAAACAAGCTGAAATGATGGCTGCCCATATTGCGCTTGAAAAACTAAGACAGCAGGAACAACTGCTTTCAAGTGAAAATGAGATGTTGAAGGTAGGTTAAAAACTGTGTTTTTCAATATTATTTAATCATATACCTAAAATAGTCTTTGTTGTTTAACTTTATTATTGGGTGTGCGTTTACAATTTTCTCAGATGGAGAATGCTAATCACAAGAAGAAGGTGATGGATCTTGAAGTCGAGGTTAAAAAATTGTCTGGTCAACAAAATATACACCAGCGTATTCATCATCATGCCAAAATTAAGGCAAGACATTTGTTTTAAAATTATGAACTCTTTTGCATCTGTTATCAAAGTTTTATTTTCTTAGGTTTAATTCAGTTTTTCACTGTCACAGGAAGAAAACAATTTATTAAGGTCTCAAAATGAAGACCTTAGCGTTAAGCTTCGGAAAACGGAGGCTGTTCTTTCGCGAGTAAAGGAAGAATTGGCTCAGTACCGAAAGGCAAATGGTAAAAATCCCTATATCAATTTTGATGAGGAAGAACAGTTGGACAAGAAGTTAAAGGTTAGTTAGGAAAGGCAAAAATTAATTTTAATATATCACATATAAAAAACATGCATAAGAGCCTGTTTAAATAAGAAATTTTCCTGTTATATCTGAAACAGGAAACTGAAGAGGAGAAACTGCGGTTGGCTCAAAAGTTACTAGGCTTATGTACTACTGTACTAAAGGTTAGACCACCTTTTCTTTTCCTAAATGTACTTTTATATCTCATTAGTTCTTC